GGTTGCTGTAGGAGAAAGGCTTTCTAACTTGTATGAAGTGTAATGCTACAGCATGTAAGAAGGTGACCACTTATATAATAATTACCAAACCAGTGAAGAGCTACAGATGTTGTCATAGATTTAACATGCATAAATACAGAATTAGTGCGTGGCACTCTCTTTATTGCCTAGCCCACAGTCCCTGTCTGTGTACTCAATAAACTTGTCTTTAAAACCAAAACCAAATAAACAAAAAAGAATGACTAAAGACAGATACCCTATATAACAAGAAAAAGGGTAAAAATGATTTGTGTAAGTTTTCCTTTAAATTATTTATAAACACCTTTTATAATGTTTAGTTAAAACTATATGGAAATCAATATTAGTTGATACATTTACATTTCTTCACTTGAAAATTGATTTTTATTCTTTCTTTTTAATAACTGTAGTCTGTTTTAGTGTTACTTTCATTGGTTTTTGGGCAAACATTTGGAAGGCACCAATAAATTTTTGAGATACTGCTTGTGTATTGGAAATCAAATTAAAATTTTAAATATGGAATTCGGCCAAATAATCTCTTTCATAATGTAAGACAGTCTAGCTAATATAACCCATAGCAAATGATTCTTAAGAACAAATGGCTAAAAGCAACTAAAAAAAAAACACCACCCATAGGTAATACGATTTTATGGAAAGGCAAGCAACTGAAAGCTATGCATTTAATTGATATCTGAAGATTATTGAGCAGAGAAAATAGTAGTGAGGAACTCTAAAGTTCAGTCTTTCATAATGTAATAGTCTTTCTTTAGCTGCCCTAACAGAAATTAATGGACAAATTTATAAAAGTAGTCATTTCTCATTATTCTGGAAGCTGAGGGTTTAAAAATCAAGACACTAAAATGGAGGAAGTTCTTTCTTGTCATCTGATAGAAAAAGGATATAGAGAAAGAAGGACAAGAGAGAGAACAGAGGTACCACATCCATTATTTTAGAAGGATTAATTTTCAACCTTAAATCATTTCTGAAGATAGAATCTCTTGAAACTATTGGGTCCCCTAAGATTCCCCCTCCAACAATACTGCACTGGGGATGAAGTTTCTACATGCTTTGTACACCTTACTTTTAACATCATCTTATCCACTAAGGGTGGGAAACCCAAGATGCATAGCTTTAGAAATAGAAACAATAGTGTATGTAAACATCATCTGACTTGAAATGTAGAATTAATCAACAAGCTTCATTTCTATAATTGTTTGTGTCCAAATGTGACAAAGTGTTGCTGATTGCAAATGCTGTTATAAAATAATTTTTTAAAAGGTGTGCTCTTTCAGCAATTAGAACATGCTCTGAGTATCTCTGATGTAAAATCACAAACAGATGGAGTTATAAACCAAGTAATTGTTGCTTATGGTCTAGGTATATTGATGTAAACGGTATGTAATCACATATATAAAAATCACATAGCCTAAGACATCAGTGAATATGCCACAGAGAAGTCCTTGGCTTCAATGGAGAGACACACAAAGTCTCCTGTGATCTTCCCAACCCAGTTCCCACCACTTCCTCAGGTTCTGTTAACAGAATTCTGTAGAAACAAAACTAAATGATCCAATGTTTGAGCTGTCAAGATTTGAAGTTCCTACCAAACATAAACTGTCTTTGATCCCCATGTAAGCCTATAAGTTTATACTTTCTCCTCAGATATGATGGTTTATGCTTCCTACAGTAGCCTTCCTCTAGAACAGACTAAGATCAAGGCATAACAATCAGAGTCCTCTGTGTTTCAACCCCTTAAAGAGTCAATAGTAGGTTTCCCTAGAGACACAGTGTTTCATGTAACTCAATGGAACTGTTTTGGGGTCAATCATTTCCAATCCAATTGATCAGGTAACTTCTTTCTTCTGACTTTAATGAGACTACATTGGTGCTAGCTGAGTTTTGTCAACTTGACACAAACTAGAGTCACGAAGGAAGAGAGGACCTCAGCTAAGGAATTGCCTCCATCAAACTGGACTGTATGTATGCCTCAGAGACATTTACCAAATGGTCTGGGAAGGGCAACCCTCTGTGGAAGATATCATTCCTTAGGAACTTGGTCCTGTGCTGTATAAGAAAGTAAACAGAGCAAATCATGGCGTGTAAGCCAGTGAGCAGTGCTTTTCTGTGGTTTCTTCCTCACTTCTTAAATTCTGTTGTATTTGATGACATACTGTAACCTATAAGTAAAATAAATTCTCCAAGTCCCTTTTGGTCAGTGTTTTTAACAGTGACATATAGGCAAATTAGAGCAACCTGTTTTTTGTTGTTGTTGTTGTTGTTTTTTCAGTCTTGACAATATACAAACTCTAGAAACTTTTTCCCTATAGAGAACTCTGTCTGTTCTCAATCACATGTAATTTTGAAGTAACAAATGAAAAAGTCTTTTGTTTGCTTTCTATGATGAAAGGTAGAAAATATCTTGGGCCATTACTTAGCTCCGGACTTTCCTTCATTTTGTACATGTTAGAAGTTTTATAAGAAGAAGGAACATTCAGTACTGTAACTCTCCAGTCTCTCACTGTTAGAATTTACATAAAATGATTTTAGTGGGTTTTCTTTATTTAATGAGTCTCTAAATCTTCTTCTAGAATGCTGTTCTAGGGTGCCACCTCATCAATAAGATATGGCATAGCAGTTATAGTTGCTTTCCCCTCTTGAATTGCATTATCTCTAAATTACAATTTCAACTTGATGCATTTTTCTATTGTTTGACGATTCCTATTTTGATTATATATAAATATTTCAATTATTCCTGCTAATATGTGCAATAGGATGGTTATCCTAAACAGTGACCTTAAAATAATTTATAAGTCATCTATGAATTACACATATAATAATAATAATAAAATAGAAACTAAGTGTAGAAATGCATAAATATAATATCAGCACTTGAGATACAGAATCAGAAGAATGAGAAGTTCAAGACCATCTTGAACTAAAACTTTTCAGCCTAAAGGCTGTTTTATGACTCAATTTGTCTCTATGCTTCTCTATGTCTATCCCTATGCATAAGAAACAAGGTAAAGAGAATCTTGGATGAGTTAGAAAAGAGTATCATTAAAATAAGAGAAAATTAATTAAAAACTATATTTAATAAAGAAGATAGCAAGCTGAGCAAGGCGTGGAGAACAATTCAATTGCCAGTGATCACCCATGTGTTCTGCTTCAATACCTGGCTCTGTGACCCTGCCTTGAGTTCCTGCCCTGATTTCCTTCATTAATGGACTGTCATGTAGAAGCATAAGATGAAATAAAACCGCTCTCTACCTTATCTAAGATGTGCAATAACAAATTTTGAAGCTATCTATAATTAAAATGTAACTAACTTTTTAAATTTATGTTTCTAAAGACTGAAACCAAACAGTTTTCTTATAATTTCATGCATGAAAAAAATATAATACATAAACTGAAGTTTTTTCTTGAAAATTAGATGTTTATAACTTCTGTGGTATAAGTTTTAAAACTACTGTTTAATTGGACACTTGTAATGATTATAATGTCTGATTTAAATCCAGTTGTGTACACATTAAAGCACTTCTCTTATGCTAGATGAGCCAAGCTTTTATATAAAAATTTTAAATATTAGTTGTATTTGCATTTGTGAATCAATAATGCTTTATTTACCATAGAAATGAAATCAACTTTTGACTGGACTTTGCATATATTCTTCGTAACTACTGATGAATCTAAATTCCTAATACTTTCCTGGATGGTAAAGTTATGATCATGAGAAGAATATATGATATTTTTTCAAAAACTTCATCCTGAACCTCTTATGTTCTATGTGCATTCCTCCCAAATGTCATTGCTCAAAATGATTTGAAATCCACTTAACCTCTTATGAGTCAGTGCTTGAAAATATCTTCCCAATGATTATGTATTGACATAATATGCATACAATTACTCACTGATAATAACAGTAAATACACATGGTACACATATGCTTAGCTTTAAGCTTGCCTTTCATATCAGCATTCATTAATTGCCAATTAATTACATAGAAGAAGTTATCCTTTTTTTTCTTTAAGTTTTTAATGAGTCTATAAACTAGCCTATAATAAATTGCAAATTCTGAGGTCAGGCTAGACAGTCATAAATCTGAAATAAAAGCAAAATCAGTTATTACAGCTAATTATTTAAAACATAAATATTTGACATTGTTTGAATTTGCTCTTGAATTTTTCTGTTCTTCAGACATTGGCATCCTGAACCATTAATTATCTCTTTTAAAATGCATATGCTGTGTGTTTATATTTGATTATCCTTATATTACATCTAGTTCTAATTGTAAGGTAAATGAATTTACATAGAAAAATATAAATAAATGCACATCAATCAGGAGGTAGATAGTAGCAACTGCAAATTGTTCATTTAGATGCCAGAATGGGGTTATTGGTAAGACTTAGTATATCATTTGTCTGTCAAGGTTTTCTTACAGGAAATGACAAAAACATTTCATTTTTTTCTAGTTTATCGAGGGAGAAAATGTCATCCAGTGTGGGGCTTCAAAGTGGCCAAAACTTCCTCCTTCCAACTCTTTGTCTTTCTTATGGCCCACCACTTTAAACATTGGCTACTTTCTAAAAGCTTGTGTTATATACTAGGCAGGTATTCTTCTGAATCATGAAACAATAATTATTCAAGTTTAGCTGCTCCTAATTAAATTTCTACAATATGAGATAAAATGACAGATGCTGGTTTATTTCTAATCCTTGAAATAATCTATCTTGATTCATGCCACTTTGTCCTTTTAAATATGGCCAGATTGAGCCAAAAGAAGCATGCGCAAATTCGTAAGAGCTAAGGGAAGCAGAATTACTGAACTGTATTCCATCACGTCTTAATTAAAGGAATTTTTTCATTCAGCATGTTTATATATTTTAAAAAACTGTACATTCACATGACTCTGTAAACCATTGCTTCTCAGAAAGGAGAAATCATACAAAACTCACTTACCTTGGCATTGCTGTGCTCTCTTGCAGCGTGTGAACTTATGAACCAGGGCATCTTGGCCTTGGTCAGCTCAATTGGTTGCACATCAGCTGGGTCTCTCCAGTCTTTGGCAGATGCCATGCATATTCCTCATCTCTTCATTCAGCGTTCAACAGCTGGGACCCCAAGAAGTGGCTGTGGCCTCACCCGGAGCAACAGAAATGATGACTATACTCTTTCAGTTCGTCCACCTGTCTACTTGAATGAAGTCATCCTAAGAGTAGTCACAGAGTATGCATGGCAGAAATTTATTATCTTCTATGACAGTGAATACGGTAAGTGTTTATGGTCTGAAGAGTTTCATAAGGTAATGTTTCCATAAGAAGCAACTTCATTAAATCCTGAAAGAAATGAAGGAGCATACTAAAATCATTTGTGGTTTTCTTGTTTCTACTATATCTCACAGCAACAAACAAGTAGAAGTATTTTCAGTGCTATTGAGCTTATGCTTTATATTAAATAACTTTGAAGTAAAATGTAAAGATAAACACCTGTTGGAGTGTATACGACACACCTGTTGTTGTGTTTTATAAAAAGTCAAGGAGAGAAGGAATATGTTTGGAGGATGTACAGTCAGGTGTGGGGGAAGAGGGAGCCTCTGCAGGCCCATGCGGAGGCATCTCTTCCCCCTGAAAAACCAGCTACACATGGTATAGTATAGAATAGAGTTTATTCAGGGCATGGCAAAGGGAGTTAGGACACTAGTAGAGACAGAGAAAAGCAGAGAGAGAGAATAGAGAAGTAGAGACTGGCCATGCGCACATGGTGGGGGGGGGAGGGAGCAAGAGGACAGAGTGAGAGCAAGAAGGCAAGAGAGCAAGAGAGAGGGGAGGGGCAAGCGCCCTTTTTATAGTGAGTCAGGCCCACCTGGCTCTTGCCAAATAACTATGGGGCAGAGCCTAGACAAAATGCTAACACCTATTACCCCAGCACTTATAAGGCTTAGGGAAAAAAAATAGAGCCAAACCTAGCTTGGCTACTAGCTAAACATTGTTTTCTAAATAAATGAATGAATGAATAAATAAATAAATAAATCTGCACCTAATGCTCCATTTAAAAGTTCTTCTTAGTACTCTGAGTACAATATATCTTAATTTTGAAATAATAGGAAGTTAGAAAGAAAGTATAAATGTACTTTTTTAAAAAATGTATAATTCTGTGATGATAATAACGGTGGTGGTTGTGGTGGTGGTGGTAATGGTGGTTTTGGTGGTGAATGAAACCAGGGATAGTCCTAGAACACTGATAAAAGTATAAACTCTTTTCATTTCGTGGCTAAAAAAATATTTGTTTAGACATCTATTTACTTAATGTTTTACCCATTATAGTTGACAGAAGTAGAAGTATGAACCAATATTTCTACATTGTTTCACTGTATCACAGTTTCCCAGAGTGCACTGTAAGGTGAGGGAAAAACAATTTGTCTCATAATCTTTACATGTGATAATGTATCAAGAGAAAATAATATTTTTTTCATTCTTTTCTGAAGTTCTTCATTTCTTAACGAGTCTAAAGCTCTTTGCTCGTGTTGTCCCCTTATTTCTGAGAGTAGCAGGAGAAGTGACTGGAGCTGGATATGATTAAATGAGAATAAATACCCCCCATGAAGAGTTCACTTAGAAGTGTGTTTCCCTTCACGATTCTAAAATGTTTCTCTTCTGGGTCTTGTTTATCCGTTTTTATGAAAAGAATGTTTTTCTTGGCAAATAAGTAAATAAGCATGCAAAACAAACAAACATTCAAAGCAATCCTTTCTTCTCATACCGGGGCTTCAACTGTGAGAGTCTGAATGGTGACAGACAAGTGAATTGCAGCACAAAGGCGAGAAAGCTGAGAACCAGCAGGTTAGCAAAAATCTGGCAAGCAACAAAGGAGAGACCCCTGGGGCCAGCCAGGAAGGGCTCAGGAGCACTTACATTTAGGCCTAAATAGTCAAAGTAGCCTGGCCTTTTGGCAGCCACAATCCCATTGAACTCAATGGGCAAACTTCAGCCAAAGTCTGTGGACTCTGTAGAAACACATTTTTTGTCTCTAAGACGGAAGCCAGTACTTTTGTTGCTTAACTCCCATTAGTTAGGGGTCACAGAATAAGGATTAAGAGACTGACATGAACAAAAGAAACAAAAAAAAATATTGAAAACAATTGGCTCATCTGCAGAAGGATAGATCGGTCAGGCAAGCGTGAAACACTGCTGAGATGGTATTTAAACATACCAACTCTCTGTAGAGTTGCTTTTGTCTGCTTTCCCATTACACTGTGCTCTGTTTTGACATTAAATGGGATTTACAGCCTCTGATCAAGTGTAAGCTGAAATAATCAAAGTTTAAAATCCAGATATTTAATGGAAAACAAACGGTCCAATAAACCACGCAGCAGAAAAGTGATTTTTGATGAGGACACTTTCTCAGCGTTAAAATGAGAAATTTAGTCTTTGATTGTAAAAGTCTGTAAGATAAAAAATCATTCATTATCATTTATTTCCAAATCCTGTGAGAATTAAGATGGGGTTCTCAAAAGAGAAGACACATTACTGATGAGCTGAATGCTGTCCTCCAAGTGTTCACTTAGGACATAGTCACAGTCATCTAACACTTGAGGCCCTCTGTTCTTCTGGAATGCCTTGAAGTGCATAAAGAGCTATAACAGCATCAAGATTGAATGGATTTCCATTTAAACACATGGTTTGTTTAGGAATCAAAACCAAAACAGCATTTCATTCTACTCTGTTGATAAACTTGCTTTAGATTTACTTCATTTAGAGTCATGAAAAATGGCCCTGCTACTATCTTCAAGATTATTTCCAATGATAACAATTATTTAATAAAAGGAAAAATTTTCTTTTAGTGCTTACGATAAATCCTGTTAGTAAAAAATTATGCTGGGTCAAAGATGATAGCGAACTCCCAGAGACTTTGTACCTAGAAGAGGGTAGTCATCAGAAACATCATTCTAAGTGGATTAGACTTGACTTTTATATTGATTATCAGGAATTGCTTCCATCAATGAATGGATTAAGTATCATTAGTGAATGGAATCAGGCAGCATGCCAAGAGCCATAGTTATTGGAGGTGGAATTTGCTTAGAATAGTGTGTGTGTGTGTGTGTGTGTGTGTGTGTGTGTGTGTGTGTAGATAGATAGATGGATAGATATAGATATAAGATAGATATATGAATATACATTATTTTAATATATACATTATATATATTTTATATATATATGCATATATCTTTTGTAGAGAAAAGCAGAGTGAATGTTTCAGGCTCCTCTGTCTAGTTGATTAATGATTTACTTTTCTTCTGAAGTATTTAATTATGTTTAAAGGTAATCTAACAAAGAAAATCCATATCATTGGGTCTATGTAAATGGATCAAAAGGTTTAAAACGTATGGACACTTTATTTAAGGGGATTAAGTCTTTATTTTCCAAAAGGCTTGAAAGGGAGGCTGTGTTGCTGAGCTTTGAACAATGTGTAATGTGTGACATATCCAGCTCTTCTTAGTATATTACCAAGTAGGAATTAAAATATGTTTCAGAATATGTGTACCTTCAATTACTAAAACCCTTCCAGTCAACAACAAGACAGAAGTTGTTTATAGGTCACTTGTAAGAGGAAACAGTGAGTTCAGTTTTCAGTGATTGAATGTTGGTGTAGTGTAATGAGGACTTTACTTTGGGCAGCAGTGATGAGCAGGCTCTCTGGGTAGACTTTGATCCTGGTTGCTAAGGTTAGGGAATATCTTGGGAGGTAGCATATATGAGAAGTGGGCACGTCAATAGAAAAAAAAATAGAATTAGGTCTGATCAATGGAAAGATTTAAAATTGCTCATTTTGCTTGCCAGGAACTAGAATAAGCATTTTATATTATATCAATTAATTCGCCAAGAATACAGTAACAAAGATTATCAGTTGAGAATATTTGCTATATCTAATCACTTTGCTAAATTCTTCAAATGTATGCATTTTCTTATGAAATTCTCATAGTCACCTAAGCTAACTGTTAATATTGCTAGTATTTTCATAAAACCAAAACATTAAGTAAGGCAATGCCAAACAACATCAAAATAAGTTAAGAATCCTCAACACAGTCATCAGTAGTCTCTCCATTACTCCTGCCTTTGGCCACTATTATACTTGACACTATAGTAATAAAATAAGATTAATTCTTAACAAGTTAAAAAGACAAGTTCATTGATTATATACAGTCATCTTCCTTAAAGAGACACAATGACTTTAAGCCTAGAGATTTCATGTATATTTATAATTACTTAAATGAAAATCATACTACATTTTAATTAGGAAGATTTGATGTTTTTTAGAACTAGGAAAACAGAACAGTAATTAGAATAAAAAATAACCTAGCCCATCATTATCAATAACAGCTATTTATGTACGATAATCATACAGACCAGAGAGAGGATCCTAATTCTCATGAAACAGGAAGCAGCATGAGTCTTGTGTTAAAGTTAAGTGGCTTTACTATCAAGTCCATCAAAGTCTGTGAACCAAACCAGCTCAATGCATGTGATGTAGGTTTGCCTATACTAAGGAATATTAGTGAGAAAGTGTCTTCATCAAACGTCACTTTACTACTGCTTATTTTTATTGGACTGTTTTTTTTTGTTTGTTTGCTTTGTTTTTTGTTTTGTTTGTATTTTTTTGTTTTCATTTTTGTTTTTGCACTAAAGATCTGGATTTTAAACATTCATTATTTCAGCATACATATGATCACAGGCTCCTCCTACCTAGAGAGTATTTCTGCTTTCAAAGGACAGAGTGCCCCAAGAGTTTCTTAGAAAATGGCTGTCACCACATCCCTCTTTTTTTTATATCCTTTACACCCTTGGCCACTAGTAACTTTCCTGTACAATTGCAATTCTTCTAATTAATTTGAACGATACAAATTGGGATCAAATTCATTTAAACTTTCTTGCTACATTTTTCGATAAGACTAATTCAACTATTTAATGAGTAGAATAAATCCCAATAACAATCAGACTTTCTTTCAAAAGATGGATGGCATTTTCCTTGAACTTCTGCACAAACCTATCTACTGGGCCAAAAGCGTTAATCCAGGTACAATTGGCTTATTTGTGATCACAAAGACTTTACTGCCCACAAGGACAAAGTCTGTTATCTATAATGACCCTGACCAGTGAGTTGAAGCTGAATAGACTGACCTCCAAAACTGAAATGTGGCCATTAATCATGTCAATTAGATTTAAAAGAATGTTTCCAATTGGACTTCTTCAATTGTAATGAAAATCGAGCACAA